GATCTTCGCTGTTTCAGAACCACACAGCTAACTTTCTAGGGCCTAGCCAGTGTGTCTTCTTGGGTCTCCCATACCGCCTTGCCCTTCTGCTTCTGCTCCCAAGTTCCCTTCTGCTTAGACCTTGAACCAAAGAATCTCACCCAAAAGCCCCTGCTGGAGAAACCAAAGCCAGAAAAATCTGCAAGCCACTTCTGGATACAGCCCAGACACGTGTCTGCCCGGGGGGAACGTCTAGACACCACTAGAAGGGAGGTGGGTGAGGAAGGTGGAAATATAAGGAAGGGAAAAACAAGTGTTCTAATCTCAAAATATTCTCAAGCCACAGATCTGAGAATGAGGTGCTACTTAAAGCCAGATGTATGCAGACCCATTTTCATCAGTACACTAAGTATACTATTTTCCACTGTACATTTTATTTTTTCTTTAAAAGAAAAAGATTTATTTATGGGGAGGAGAAATATTCCACAACACTTGCAGAGGCCAGAGGATAACTTCCAAGAGCCCCTTCTCTCCTTCCACTATGTGGGTCCCAGGGATTAAACTTTAGTCATCAGGCTTGGTGGCAAGCAACTTTAACCCAGTGGACCTTGTTGCCAACCCTTTTCATTCACTGGAAGAACAGACCTTTGCAGGTAGGTCTGGGACCCTCACTACACAGAGCCCTGTGGTTTCATCTCTGAAGGCTCCAGAGGGCTGGAGAAGGGCTCAAGGCACACGGCTTCAAAGGTGTTATTTGTACTGAAGATCAGGCCTGCCATGGCTGGAGGCTGGGGCTGTGTTGTCTGGCTGGTGAAGACACTCGCCCAATATTTTTTCTATCTTTAAGGAGCTGGTTGTGCTTGTACAGCTGCTGCTGTTCTGGTGGCTGTTTGGGGATGCCCTCAATGATATGCTTCAGTTCCAACACAAGGCTCAACTCCTTGGCTTTGGTGAACATGGCAGACTTGTGGCATCAGATCATGGATGTGTTGGTGTGGCCTGCTTACTTGGTTTTTTGAGACAGTGTCTTGCTAACTTGAAACTTCTGGATAGCTTGGAACTACTTCATCCTGATTGGCCTTGTGTTTAAAATAATGATTCTCCTCAGATTCAGTATGTGCTAAAGATGGATTTCAGGTGAAATATCCTTTATTAATGTTGGCTACCCACAGCTGGAGAAGCTAAGATCAGAAATCCAACAGCAGCTCCCACTGTGGATTTTCAAGATCCTCTGTAACAGGCTTGCAGATTTACCAATGTGGAGATGAGGGTTCTGCTCCGGGGAGGATTGACTGTGGCCTGTGATTGCTGGCAGATTTCCTCGGGTAATTTTAGAGTTCACAGGGGTAGGGAAATCTTTCTAATTCAAGGTTTCCATTACACATATGCACTACATACCCACCCTGATTTGGAGAAAGGGAATCCCTGCAAGGATTTAAACTCGCGACTCCTAACAAAGGCAGCAGCTGAAGCCACCATCAGCACAGAGCTGCTGGGACAGAAACTGAAACTGAGGACAAGGGAAGAGAAACTTGTCCTGTGCCCCGGTTGAAGGAGGACTCAAACCCAGATTTGGCATCTTGGGACCCAGCACTTCTGCTGTGACCTCACACATCTTGGAAGTAACTGTCACCAGCAGCTTGGGGCCCAGTCACTCTGATGCCCTGTCCCAACTCAGAATAGAGCCAGCCAGCCAGATATCCTGCCCAGGCAGATTCGATGTGCAGGCCAGGCACATGGTTGGGGACATGTGTACGTTGCCCAGATTCGATAGCGGGCCAGGCACATGGTTGGGGACATGTGTACGTTGCCCAGCCCTTGCCTGTCTCAGTCCCAGGAAATCATCTCTCCTCTGTCTGGATTCTCATGACTATCCTCTCTCGTCTCGACTTCTTTGGGGCTCGGCTTGCACCCTGAGTATTTGTACCAGCGACATGCTATGGGTCTAGGAAGGTTTCTCTTCCAATATAGACGGCAGATCCTCTCGAGGACAGTTCTCAAGTGTTTTATCATCTCTTCTGATTTCCATTCTCTGCCTATTAACTGATCACAGTTTAATAGGGTTTCTATTCACGTTTCACACACCCAAAACCCCAGTGGTTTCCAATTTACAACACACTGCGAGGGATTTCTACAGCTCTTAGCAGACTGTGTCATTACTTGCTGCGGATGCCGGCTTGGACTTTCCAGCTCCCTGACCTTGCAGCTGCCCAGCTTTCCTGGCAGTTTACTTTGCCCATCAGTACACCGGGTTTCTCTGAGTTGCATTCCGGGAGGCTGTCAGAGCCTGTGGTGTTAATTTTCTAATTGAGAACACTGACGCAGCCTAAACCTGGCATTAGACAGGTGAGAATGTTCAATCGTTTAGGTGAGCTACTTTTCCCAAGGGTTTTAAGTGTGGCATGCTAGTCTCTAGTTTTGCATAATCACTCAGATGAAATTATTTATTTTGATCAGGGGCTGTAAAACTGTGCTAATGAGTCTATAATAAGCAGACAGGCAAAGGGAAGCTGTTCTGCACCTAAAACATTGGGATGCTAATCCTGTTTTCAGGAGTATCCGTTTATTTGGTTGCTGCTGTTGGAGGGTGGTTTGGTTGTTGTTTAGTGGTGCTGGGGACTGTTACCTAAAGATATTAAAGCAAACAAAGGTCTTTGTTATGTAACTTCCCATCAATTGTTCAGAAATACCACCCCATCCCTGCATGTAGAGAAACCCCCCTTCTTTCTCTCCCCATTCCCCTACAGCGGATTCCAAAGAAATGTCTTTCTGATGAGGCGTAGTTGCAGAATTGATGGCTGTCTACTTAAGCAAAGCAAGGGCTAATAGAGGATTGCACACAGGTAGATGGTTCTCTGGTTCGGGCACTATTATGGCTGCTATTTTATAGATGATTAAACTGATACTCAGGGAGCTCCAGCACTTACCTAAGCTCACACACCTGTTAAATTGTGGAGCTAGGATCGAATCCAGCCCGGGTTTAGTTGTCGTTTTAATTTCGAACACACTCCATTAGGCAAGCAATTGCAGCTTCCCAGCGGAGCCCAGCTCTGGTTCTCCGGCTGAGGTTCCTCCCCGCGTCTCCGCCCGGTGTGCGCCCCCTCCTGGTCTCCAGGAGGAGTACCTCTGCAGGACCTGACAGCCCGAGCTCTCTGCTTCCTTAGCTCAGAGTAAAAACCGTGGAACCCTTCCAGCAATCCATTGTGAGAAATCTCCCATGAGGGGTGCTTCACTCTTTCAGAAGGATTTGGGGGTGATTGCATTAATAATAGAGCGTTCCTCAGAACTGATCATAGAGCACCTTGGTCATAAGCCATTCACAGGAGAATGAGATAGTGTAGGCAGAGCTATGAAGCCAAAATCACATCTCCCAAGTCCTGTCCACCCAGAGTGTGGTCAGTGGGCCAGCGGCATCAGAATCACAGCGAAGAATCGCAGGCTCTCAGGCTGCTAAGATAGATCAATGGATAAAATGCATGCCACCCAGTGTAAGGGCCTGAGTTTGAATCCTCAGCACCCATGTAAAAGCCAGAAGCTTCTGGTTGGTAATCTCATCGCATCACCCCTGCCAGGAAATGGGAAATGGAGACAGACATGCCCGGAAGCTTGCAGCCAGCTAGTCTGGCATACACAGCCAGGAACAAAAAAGAGGCCTGCTTCAAGTAAGACTGACACGCCAAAGTTGTTCTCTGCCTCTGGGCTCCACATGAGCTCTGTGGCTTGTACACACACACACACACACACCAAACAACAGAAAACACCTTAATTTTAATTTTTAAAATGCAGGCTCCAGGGTCCCTGTACACCCCCACACACCCCAAGACTGGATGGATGGATCAACATCTCCATCTCGGGGAGAGCTCCAGAGGACTCCTGGGCACAGACACCATCCTTTGAGTCTCTGTGTATGTTTGGCAGCATTTTCAGACTTGATTTTGTTTAAAGGTCAAATAGCAACCATGTTTGCACAAGTGGGTTCAGATCCTAGCGCCACAGTTTAATAAGTGTGAGACCTTAGTGAGGCAAGGGCGCAAACCTCACTCAGCATCTGTTTAACCTTCTATAAAATATGCAAAATGCAGCAAGTCAGTTCAACTTTTAGGACACTCATCCTAAATCTGAGACCCAATAATTATGCACTGTCTCCTAACACAGCCATCATTCACCTAGCCCTCCTCTTAGAAATGTCGAACTCTGATGGTGACCTTATGTCACTTTTTCCCTAGACACCCACAAGACCCCCTGAGTCAGCAAATTCTTGGTCCCTGGAGAGTAGACACAGGGGAACTGTCTAGTCCTAGTACTGGAATCTCAGAGACCAAATGATCACAGAAAGGTCATAAAAGAGACTTGTAGGCCCCAGGGGAAAGCGTCCTCCATACAACGGTATTTCTTTTCCCCTGCCTGGCCTTGCCTGTCTGACTAAATGACCTGGAACCAGAGGCTGGGTTAGACACTTCCCAAAGTCTGTTTAGCCCTTGTTTTTTACATGCCATGATTTAGAAAAACATTTTGAACTTTCTCTTCCAATTAACACTCCATTTAAAGTAGGAGGTAGATCTCACACCGGTAATCGGTAATCGAAGCAATTGAGAGGCTGGAAGACTGAGTTCAAGGCCAGCATGGGCTACATAATGAAACCCTATTTTAGAAAACCAAAATCCAGGATAATAAGAACAAAGTGTTTATATATATATATATATATATATGAAAATGCCATTGTAAAACCATTACTTTGTATGCTAATTTTAAGATTTCATTTTAAGCCGAGTATGGTGGCACATGTCTTCGATCCCAGCACTTAGGAGGCAGATACAGATGGATCTCTGTGAGTTCAAGACCAACCTGGTCTACTTAGTGAGTTTCAGGCCAGCCAGGGCTACATAGTGAGACCCTGTCTCAAATAAATAAATTAATTTAATTTTTAAAAATTAAGAAAAAGCCAAAACCATTCCACTTAAAAGAAGTGATTCACAGCACAGAAAACACCTGTGTGATGTTTTCCACATATTCTCCTTTAGGAAAAAGTTCTCCTGATTCATCAAAGAAAATGACCTACTCCCATCACCGTGATGAGAATCCTGTAGTCTCAGGAACTGAAGTCTTTGAACCGCCAACCACCCTCTGCACTTAGGATGAGACCTTGTGTTAGAAGGTGAGTGGTCCAGATGAAACTGTAGCTTCATAATACTACCAGGAAGATTGCTGGGGTGCTGGGGTTGTGTTCAGAATGGCAGGGGATCCCATATGGATAAAACCGAGTCCCTACCCTCAGGATTTACAACTTGTCAAGGAAGGCGTAATGTAATAAAATGCTGTCATGGAGACAGATATGCCTGGAGAGATGTGTAGACTGTTTTGAGGTAGCCTTTGTGGGGAGGTGGGATGGGATGAGTGAAGGAGACGTACATGTGTATACAAAGCTTGGGGACCAGGCCAGACAGAAAAACTGGGGGTCAGGGGAGGCCATGTTCTAAGAGTGGTAAGGAATATCTAGATCACAGGACAGAGACAGGAGGACAGTGTAGAAATGACCAGAAGTTTGGCTGGATTGTATTACCCCTCTGTAAAATGACATCTCAAGCCCAAGAGGTCTCTACTAGGAAACCTTTCCAGAATGGGGTTGTACTCTGAGGTGGAGGACCCTGGAGCCATCCTGAAAAGTTCTGGCTTTTTGGGCCTACGGAGCCAGTAAGAACCTTTCTGGTCAGTGCCTGTACTCTGGGAAGATGCCTCTGGTAACACAGTAAAGGATGCCTATATGAGAGTGACATGCACTGTGCTAGCTTTCTGTCACAGTGACAGAATGCCTGAGAAAAACAACTTATTGAGGGGAAAGGTCTGTTTTGGCCTACTGTTTCAGAGGTGTCAGTCCATAGTTACTTGGCTTGTTGGTCTGAGGCCTGTGGCAGCACAGTTCATCACGACTGGAGGACTTGGTAGGGCAGGCTGCTCATTTCATAGTGTCAGAAAGTAAAAAGAGACAGGAGGGGCCAGAGTCTCAATACCCCCTTCAATGGCATAACTCCAGTGCCTTTATGTCCTTTTGTTAGACCCCTCCTGAAGGTTCCCAGGAGGACAACAGGTTGGTGGCCAAGCCTTGAACACATAGGTCTTCTGGGGATATTTAAGATCCAAACCACAGGACAGTGGGAGATAGAGTGGTTACTACAGTGGTTCAGTCAGAGGCAGCCAAATTACATGCAGTGGAATTTATGGGGATTTCCTGAGATGAAACTTCCCCAGACCACCAGCTACGTTGATGCTTGCTTATTAGGGAACACACTGTGACTCACGAACCTTGTGATATTCTTGAGGATCCATGACCAGAGATAAGCATCAGGTGTGTTCAACCAGTTAGAAGGGACTCAGGAAGGTCACAGCTCTAAATGCTATGCATTTGGGAGGAAATGCCAGAGATGTGTGAAAGGATCCTTCAGGGATACATCAGACGAAGAAGAGGAAAGAAGAAGCTCTCTCAGAGAGGAGAAAGCAAGGAGGAAATGGGGCTGTTCTGAATGGGTTGAGACCAGACCATCCAAGGGGCTCAGAGAAGTACAGATAGCACTCATCCCCTGGGCAGCCATCACTGGAGGGTCATGAAGAGGGAGGGAGGCCCCAGGGCAGGATGTGAGCAAATTCATTCATTCAGCAAAGAGAACAAGGCAATTCCTGGCCTCAGGAATGAAATTCTGATTTATAAAAAGGAATGCAGGTGGGTTTTTAAATACATACCAGGGAGTCTGACAGCAATTGTGAACAGATTTCTAGAAGAGATTTAGTAGATGGTCTGCAGCTCTGAGGAAAGCCAGGGGACCCTCCATGGCACATGTTTGGCACATGTTCGGCACAGCGTGCTCATTTCTATCCTGCCAGGAGTTCAGTTTCTCCCAACTCTGGGAACTCGGGGAGGCATGGAAGTCTCCTTGTGGTATGTCCCATCCCCAACCCCCCCCCCCCCCCCGCCCCCCTATACTCCTAGTTTGGACCCTGCACCATTCCTAGTCTTGGGGCCCCAGACACCTGGGGAACCAATACTGCTTCCTGACCCTTCTCACCCAGAGCAACTCAGTCTCTTTCTTGGGCTCCAGGAGCACCACTTCTGGTCCTGGCCCTGCCCTCATCTCCCTCTACTTCCCTGGTCCTGGAACACTCGCCAGCCTTTTTCTGGGGCTGACAGCCTCTTTCTGGGGCTCTGAGGCTTACCTTTACTCTCTCCCCCCACCCTGGGAACCCGGGGGTGCATTGAAGTCTCCTTGTGGTATGTCCCCCCCCCACCCCCCCCCCCCCGCCCAGCTCATGAGACAAAGTCTGCACGTAAATGGGAAATTTCTCACTGGGCTAGGTATAACAGATGTGCTTTGTGTTGTGGAATCATAAACATTTAGAGAGGCAAACAGACCCTAATGAGACCAGCAAGCATCAGCAAATAAATCAACTGTTCTCCTGAGCTTGCACCAGCCAGGGAAACCTAATGTGCTGATCCAGGAGTCCAGTTTGCAGAACAGTTGTCAGCCATCAGGTGTCCATCCTGCTGTGCTCATCCCAGAGACTCGGGGAAGATGCTCAGGTGCTGATGGGTCTGAGGAGTTTGGGAACAATTGATCTGCTCCCAGCTGTAGAACGAGCACCTCTTGCAATCATGTTTGCATGAGTAAGCCCCACTCTGAGCACAGCAACCTCGATGTGTAATACTGGGGACCCCTCCCAGAAGCAGGGACAGAGCCCTCCCGTGGGTGTCACCGTCCACACACAGCCACATGGTTGCCAGAAGACAGCGGGGCTAGAGCCTGGCCTTCTAAAAATAGGAACAAGGGAGACCTGGCTGCTTTGTGGCGCCACACCTGCATTATAGGAGAAACGAGAGGCCTGGAGACCTTGCACTGAGGACACACTTGAATAGCATACCTTTGTGTGGGCACCAGCAGGTATGGTGTACAGATTTGGGTATGAGGACATGCAGAAGGCAAGGAACTGGGCAGGAAGAGCTGAGCAGTCTCAGGACTGAAGCTGCTGAGGGAGGATTTGAAGAGAAGGTCCAAGTGTAAAGGAGGAGGAGCAGTCAGGACTCTGGGGTCCTTATGGGGCCATCAGAGAAGAGGTACTGTACAAACAAGGTCATGAGAGCTAACATTTGTGTTGAGAGAAAAACTCAGCATTTCAAAGGAGGAACCATCCCAAGGACAAGTGACCAGGGAGGTAAGGTGGACTTTCATATGGATCTTAAAGAGGAGAAAGTGCCACCCCACAGTGTCCACAGGGGATTGGTTCTAGGATCTCCCACAGACAACAAACTCTTCCTGTGCTTAAGGCCTTTATAGGATGTAGTATTTGCATGCCCCACCCCCTGTCTACTAGAAACGATTTCACATTATTTATTATACCTCACACATCGTGAATGCTAAGCACCTGGTTGTTCTACCCTATTGTTTACAAAATAAGGGGGGGAAATCTGTCATGTTCTGTACAGATGCAATAGTTTCCCCCAAGTATTTTTGATCTACGGTAAGCTGAGTGTGAATGTGGAACCCAGGGATAGAGAGGACCAACTGTACAATCTGTCCTCTAGACTTGCCCAGTGGTTCTGATTCAGAAGGCTGGGACAGGGCCCAAGAATTCTCATTACCTTGCAGATGCTGCTGCAGCTCTCCAGGGGGCCACTGTGGGATTCACTGTAGACACTGTAAGCTCCACGTGGGCAAGGACTCTTCAATACCCAGCACCGTAATTGGCATATAACTCAGCTTAGAAAAAGTCTCTGGGACACAGAGGTGGTGCTGAATAAAAAAGAGGTTAGTGCAGGAGAGTCTTGGAGCCATGATGGTTTATGAAGGAAGCTGGAATTGTACCAGGGAGCAAACTCTGAGGTCGATGGCAGCATAGCCACCCATCTGGTTCCGTGGAACTATTGCTAGAGGCAAAATGCTAGGCTGGAGGAAATGTGACCCCAGCAACCCTTTGGATGGGTTCCAGTAGGGTGCCCATTTGTTGGTTGGATGGTTTCAGCATGAAGTGTCCCCCATGGTAGCTTGCTCCCAAGTTAGTGGTGCTGCTTTGGAAGGTTCTGGAAACTTTGGAAGGTGGGCCCTAGTTGGAGGAAGTGAGTCACTAGAGTGGGTCCTTGCGGGGAGAGCGAGATATCCCTGGCTCCTTCCATTCATTCCTCATGTCATGTGAACATCTAACTGTCCTCTGCCACATGCTCCCACCGTGATGTTCCGGTCAGCATACAGGGCCAAGCAACCAAGGTCTGAACCCTCCAAAACGATGAGCCCAAACAATCTTTCCTTCAGTTGTTTCTGTCAGATGTTTTTGTCTCTGCTAATACTAATTCCTGTAAAACTTCTCCTTGTCCACTGCCTTTGAACCTTTTCAAAGATAAGCCTGCATTCCATACTGGGAATTAGTACATGATTTTTTATTACTACGTGATCTTTAGAGAAACTCTCCGAGGCATTCTCTGGAGATGAATGAAATGTTTCTCCCACAGAGTGAGTCCTCCATGCTTGGTGCTGCAATGGCACCCCAGATTTGGACCCAGCACCTGCCAGGAGAAACATACTTTCTGCAACTTACCTCTTAAACACAGCCAGCCTGAGACATGGCTCAGAACCCAGGGCCTTGCCAAGGATCCATTACTGGTGTGATTTGTTAGGGATCAAGTATTAAATTAAACAGGAATAACCCCAGCTCAGCCCAAGGCATTTGTAGGCTAAGTGTGGTGTCAGGAGAGCAGCGGCACACCCAAAATACAAACTTAGGCATTTGCTTCAGATACCACAGCCCATAACACAGAAAGCTTAGGCGAGCGGCTCTGCTGCTCAGGCAGTTAAGTCAAGAAGGGAACCTGCTCTTCTAATGGTTGAGATTAAAGTGAATGAATTCAACCGAAATGAAAGGGATACTGACCCTTCTCCCTCCAGTCTCATTATCTTAATTAACAGTGCTTGGCAGGAGTATCGAGGCCACCATTGATCGTGCTATTTCCTGTTTTTCCCCCTCAGAGCCCTAGACACAAGTTAACCCAGCCGTAATAATCAAAACCCAATACTCAACAGCCTCCAGCGTTCTCAGCACTACTTCTTCCTCTCAGAGAATCATGGGGCTTCTGAGTTGGAGGGGATCCTTCAGACCAGTGCTTCTCAAAGCAGGGTC